CAGGAGAGGGAGTTCAAGGTCATCCTGCACTACAGAGCAAGTTTGTAGCTAGCCCCGCCCCACCAGGCCTCAGAGCAGAAGAAAGCTCAGTGGCAGAGAGCTTTATTAGCATGTGTGAAGCTCCAGATTCACTCACCAACACTGAAAGACAAATGAAGAAAAAACAAAAACAAAAACAAAACCCAAAACAAATGCAGAAACCCTCTTTGAGAAAGGAAACTGGACTAGAGAGATGGCTCACTAGTTTTAAGAGTGTGTCCTGCTCTTCTGGAGGTTACAAGTTCAATTCCCAGAAACCTTGTCAGGTGTTCATACCCACCTGTAACTCCAGTTCCTGCGGAATCCAACTCCTCTGGCTCCTTTGAGCACCTACAGTCATGTGTACATACTACACACAGACATAATTTAAAATAATAAAAAAATAAAAAATTTTAATGGAGGAACAGTTTTGTCTAACAAAGAAGGAATTTGATGAATACAATTGGGTAAATTCATGTACTGAAATATTTTGTAGAATTTACAAAGCATATGGCTATATTTACTTACATTAGCAGGGATTGAGTGTAGCTCCTTTATGAAAAAAGTATATGTAATATAATGACATTTATCTAACCAGAGAATACGAACAATATGTGTGGAGACCCACAGAGGTTTCCTAGTGAGAACTTACTGAGGGTCAGAGAATCTGGGCGTGCTTTACCCAGCAGGGCTGCATAAGGGGATGATCCCGGGTGTGGTTACCAGGTGTTTGGAATGGTCTGCACTTGGCTGTGTGGTATGCTTTGATCTTTCAAGGAGGAGGTCTTTTGCCCCACCCCTTGGCATTGTTATAAAAAGCCCTTTTCAATCAACGAAGTGGCTGTTGAGTATTGACCCAGGCCCTCCCGAAGCTATCCTGTGTTTCTTCTGTCTTTCTTTTCGTCATCTAGGTTTCTCTTTCTATCAGATATTTCCTCATTCCTCTCTCCTCGACCTAAGAACCCTTCAAGAGGTGAGAGCTGGACTCCCACAAATATGCCACTCAAGTATGTTCACACAAACACATAAATATACTCATGCAACAGTATAAAGGCTTGATGTGAAGATAAGTGTCATATTTGAAGACTATAATGGTTTTAACCCACCTATTCCACTATTTTTTTTTCAAAGATTTATTTATTATGTATACAGTGTTCTGCCTGCATGTATGTCTGCAGGCCAGAAGAGGGCACCAGATCTCATTACGGGTGGTTGTGAGCCACCATGTGGTTGTTGGGAATTGAACTCAGGACCTCTTGAAGAGCAGCCAGTGCTCTTAACTGCTGAGCCTTCTCTCCAGCCTCCTCCTCCTACTATTTTTAATTAATTTACTAACTCCCCCCCAATTTAGCATTTTAAAATACCAAATATCTACCATTCCACATAGTACTAGAGGTTAAAGGTTAGGGTGTGGCTTAAATGCATGGTCCTTACTTTGGGTCTTTGATCAGGCTGCTTACAGTCTTTTCAGTTGGGTTAGTCATCTCAAGACTTGGTAGGGCTGGAGAGCGTCTCCCTGATAGCTCATTTTACAGTTGTTGGTAGGATGCCATTGTCCTACCCACTGTTCTGGCTTCACAGGCTTGTTGAGGTTATTTATGCCTGATATTTGGCTTCCTTCGAGGGTCTGTGACCTGGGCACTTGAGCTTTATTCTGTTTGTTAGCAGGGAGGAATTGAATCCAGTGAGAGGAAGCCGAGGCTACATCTCTTTAAGGAGGAGCTATAAGAAAGAAATGGTAATGAGAACATTGGTGTGACAGAGAAGTAGGGATGTTACTTTCATTCCTGGCCAGTGGTGGAGAGTAAGGGCACCAGGTTCAAATTCTGGCCCTTTTATAACCAACTATAACTTTAAGCAAGGACCCTTAGATCCTTCATCAATGAAATGAACATAATAGTAATATCTGTTGTATAGAGATGTGGACATAATACGTGGAGAGAAGTGAAGGTAAAGTAATTAGTATGCAGGCTTTTATTTAGTAAGCAGTAAGATCTGGTATTTACCTCCCCCCCTCTCTGCTGGGACATATAAATAATTTTTATATAGTATTGTCTTTCTGTATTTTTATTAGCAGAATTGTGTAGGTAGAGTTTTCCTGCCTGGCCCACAGTCAGGGCAAATCTCTCTCACCTGCCAGTCCCACAGCCGTCAGACCCGACGAAGTAAACACAGAGACTTGTATTGGTTTCAAACTGTATGGCCATGGCAGGCTTCTTGCTAACTGTTCTTTCAGCTTAAATTAATCCATTTTTATAAATCTATACCTTGCCACATGGCTCGTGGCTTACCGGCATCTTCACATGCTGTTTCTCATCGTGGCGGCTGGCAGTGTCTCTCTGACTCAGCCTTCCACTTCCCAGCTTTATTCTCCTCCTTGTCCCGCCTACACTTCCTGCCTAGCCAATGGCCAATCAGTGTTTTAATTATTGACTAATCAGCAACACATTTGACATACAGAACATCCCACAGCACTTCCCCCCCTTTTTTTTTTTAAAAAAAGGAAGGTTTTAACCTTAACAAAATAAAATTACATATAATTTGGGAATTTGGGCGTAGCTTCTCTTACTACTTCCTGCTGGAGGGGGGCGCTGTATCTTATGGGGATACAAAGAAAATTTTAGGATCATGGAAAAGTCCATGAGGGTGTATCGTCTGAGCCAGTTGCCTTCAAACCATTCTGGATGTTGGACCATCTGGGCCATGGTGTCATCAGAGACCTTTCAGGGGGTCTTGGCTGGTCAAACCTGATGTATCTTAATCTGGAACAAATCCATAGCCTCTGGCTTTCTGTGGGAACAAAAGCAGAGTCTCCTTTCCAAAGTAACATATCCTTATATTCAAATTTTGAAGTCAAGATACCTTTAAAATATACATTTTGGCGTAACTCAACAGCTTTTACAATCAAATGTTTTTCTGCAGTTAAAAGTCCCAAAGACAACACAATGCAGATTCTCTGTGTAATATCCATTTTTACGTGGCTTATTTTTTATACTACCTTTACTGTCTCTTTAAAGACTTTATTTTTTAAAACTATGTATTTGTTTCTATAACTCTATATATCTTTTTTGTCTCTTTCAAGCCTACGTATCTTTTACACACATTGTAAACTATTACATCTGAATCTGTCTTATTGTGAATCTATTGCCTTAAACTGCAGCAGCTGTGGCTGCTGGATCCACCCACCTCAGCTTCCCAACATGGCCATGGTTTACCGCCAGCTCTGGGAGCTATCGGGGGTCTATGCTTTTATCCAAGCAGCGTGTAGCCCAGAAACCTCTTTTTTTTGTTTTGTACCAGCAAAGGCTAAATCCACAATGCAGCTTAATGTGCCACTTGCAGAGGCCTCATTCCCGCCACAGGGTGTATGCTAGGAACCCACCAGTAGCTCAAACCGGCAGCTGCTGCTCATTTGAGAGAGACAATTAGGAACTGTTTTTAGCTCCGTTTTAGAATCTTTTCTCAGGTTTTTAGGTGGAAACTCTTGCCACCACGTTGGACGCCATTTGTAGGTAGAGTTTTCCTGCCTGGCCCACAGTCAGGGCAAATCTCTCTCACCTGCCAGTCCCACAGCCGTCAGACCCGACGAAGTAAACACAGAGACTTGTATTGGTTTCAAACTGTATGGCCATGGCAGGCTTCTTGCTAACTGTTCTTTCAGCTTAAATTAATCCATTTTTATAAATCTATACCTTGCCACATGGCTCGTGGCTTACCGGCATCTTCACATGCTGTTTCTCATCGTGGCGGCTGGCAGTGTCTCTCTGACTCAGCCTTCCACTTCCCAGCTTTATTCTCCTCCTTGTCCCGCCTACACTTCCTGCCTAGCCAATGGCCAATCAGTGTTTTAATTATTGACTAATCAGCAACACATTTGACATACAGAACATCCCACAGCAGAATTGAGTTTATTTTAGGGTATCTACCATCAAAGCCTATGTATTCAAACTTAGTTAAAATTCTGCTTATAACTGTTTGATCTTGGAGATTTGAAAACTGCAGATAAATGTTTGTATACACACACAGGTATACATAGCAGATGCTTGATAAACACCATAATATGCCACTTTGTGCCAGTACACATTCTAATAGCAGCCTATCCTACTTATTATTCTCAGTAAAGTATTGGTGGCTTTTGAAAGTCTGTTTAAGGCAAGGCAGAAACACACTAAAGTTGGAAATTCTCCTTATACAATCCAAATGTATAGGAATGTTGTGTTTTCCACAGAAAATGTTTTGCATTATTTTCTGTGTATGTGTTAAATGTATAAATTATTATGCAAGGATGTATACAGCTTCTATTCTCTTGGTGCTTCAAATGTAAGCCAGACATGGATGCATATAATGATGATGTCCACCCCGCAAAGCACACACGTGGCTTACACACACACACACACACACACACACAAAAAAAAAAAAGCAGATATATCTGAAATATAGTAAGGTAAGAGTGGGGCAGACTTCAGACTGAGCCTTTACTGAGAATCCTGTTTACTGTTTTTAAGCCACATTGACTTGTCACCTACACACACACACACACACACACACCCCTTTGGTTCCCATTTCCATACTAAATAGAATACATGGAAAATGTGTTACTGGAGTAGAAATTCTGATTTGTTACCAGTTTCAATGATCTGCCTCAAGTCAGCAAATTACTCTTTAGTATTCTTTATCTTTCTTGATACAGAAAACTGCTAAAGATGCTGCCTATCAGTGGGAGATCCTTATTTCAAATTGATAGCAATGAAAAGTAAAAGCTATCCGTTAGCTGGTTCCTTTTATCCTATGCATGGCAGTCCTAGACAAACCCATCTGATGCTGTAGTGGTGTTGGGTAAACTTATAAAACCATATTGTGTTATATTACTGTGGAAAATAACTTTATAAGCAGCTAACTCAGATAAAATTGGTAATCCTACAATAGAGATGATTATTTATTTAATAAATTTTTTATCAAACACATAATCTACTGGAGATGCATTTTACATAAATTGTGTGGCGAACAACTTCAGGGTAATATTTTGTTTCAGTTTTTATGTTAAATTCTGAAACAAGCAAGGCATTTTGATTAGGTCTTGTTTGGCATTTTATTTGGTCTGAACCCCTGTACTTCCACTAATTTATAGCCACTAATTGGCCACATAATTCCCTTTCCTGGTGTAGTATGTGTTTGTAAGGTCAGTTTCTAGCAAACGCATTTTTCTAAAAGATGGCTTAAGATATGAACGAATATGTTCATTTGTCCACGTGAACCAAATAAAAGTGAGGGTACACGAATTTCATGACCAGTAAACCGAGTGGCTCTAATCCTGTCTCCCTGAGGCTGGCCGGCTGCTCTGCTGTTTACTAATTACCTGTCTAGTGTACTCTGACTTCTGTAGAGAAGAGGACCAAGTCGTCTTTGGAAGTAGTTGGAGACTCCTGACTTCCCTAGTGATGTTTTTAGAATATTTCCTAGGTATGAGTTTTTAAAGTGCAGCTCTTTTCAACTGAACTGATTGTATGTTGCATAAGCTCTGGAGGGGACAAAACAAGTTAAAAAGCCACCTTCATGCACAGCCGCGGGACTAGGTATTAGGTCGCTTCTAGGAAGAAAAATTTGATTCATGGCTCTTTTCCAGAGGGGACATTTGCAGACTTCGCTTCCGCAGAACGTGAAGCGCGCCTCTTCCTGCCGAGGCCCGCGTCCCCGAGGCGGCCTGCGGCTCCCCAGCCTCAGGTGTCCGTGCGGCCGCTAGCTGCCGGCGCCCGGGACTTCCTGTCTGGGCGCGGGGCGGAAGGATCGCGTTGCCAGCCGGGGCCGCCGCCGCCCCTGCCGTTAGGTGGTGGGGCTGCTCAGCCCGGCGGCGGGAGGCGGGCCGGCCGCCGCTTCCTGTCGGAGGACGCGCAAGGATCCGGGCGTCGGAGTGTGTGCGAGTGCGTGAGTGTGTGCCGCCCGCACGGCGTGTGTCTCCGGCCGCGGGTTCCGCCTTCTCCCCTGTCGCCGCCGCTCAGGGTGTAAGTCAATGTGAAGCAGCAGTTCCAGCCCCGGGATAAACATGGCGACGTCTCTGCATGAGGGACCCACGAACCAGCTGGATCTGCTCATCCGGGCCGGTAAGCGCAGGGGAACTTTTCTCCGGTGCATCGGTGCAGCGGGCGAGGGGGCGCCCGGCAGGCGGGGAGCGTCCCCCGGGGCGGTCAGCGCCCGGGTCCGGTGTCCGCCTCCGTCAGCGGGGCGGCCGCGGAGAGGGGGGAGTGAATGAAGTAATGGAGGCGACAAATCAGGAAGTGATCACCTTGGAGAGTAACCTGCCTCGGATCCCGGCTGTCGCCCCGGGCGGCGCGGCAGCGGCGGGGGCCGGGCACCGAGCCGCGGCTAAGTTGGGGAGTCGGCGCGGGCGAGTTGCGCGCTTCACCCCAGTTGCCGGGGAACCAGGAAGTGAGCGGGGCTGTTGTCCCCGCCGCCTGCCACGCTGTCCGGCCGAGAGGCCGCCCCTGCCCGCGGCTGGGGGCGCTGGCCGCCCGCCGCCCTCGCCTCACACTTCACACAGCCGCCACTTCCGCATGGACGCCGCGGCCCCGGGAGCTACCCGCCAAAACGCGCCCGGCCGGCCTCCTGCCTCAGCCCTCACGGAGCAGCGCCGGAGTAACGGTCTTGAGGCCACTTCCCCGGGCCGAGCGGGACGCCGACCCGGCGCCTCCCTGTCCCCGGCTAACGGCGGCGGTGCAGAAACTAGGCTGCTGCCCTTCCGTCCCTCGTGGGGCGGGTGTTTCAGGGGGACGGGAAGGACACGGGGTGTATTCCGTGCAGCCGACCCGGGGCTTTGGGACAGCGAGGGAGAACGTTTATTTTTGTCAGCAGTGGGTGAAAGCGGGATGCAGGGCGGGCGGGAGGGCGTCCTGGCCCCAGGGAAGTCTCGGCTCGGAATTGCCCCCTTTCCCCTCCCCCCCCAAACCTCCCACCATAGCGGAAGCGCCTGGGAGAGGACAGAACGCGCGCGATTGACAGGCCCGCCGTTCCAATCTGCGCTCCGAGATGTTCCAAATAAGAACGTTGATTTCTGGGGGCGGGACCATGGGCCCGAGCCGGGCCAATGAAGATTGGGCGGGAGTGAAGCTGACAATGTACGCATGGAATTGGAGGGAAGAGGAGTGTAAACACGGAAGTGGCCGCGGGGGTGGGGGATGTGCTGCGCCACTGCTGCAGCGGAAGGGCACGGACTTAAGTTACATAGAAAAAGCAGCTTTCCTTGCTCGCAGACAGCGCAGCGAGGGCCCGGGTCGGTGTGGCACTGCTTGAGCACTGTTGCTTACTGGAACAACACGGACGCACGCGGTCCTCGCTCTGGTTCTGGTTCATACCATCCTTGTGGAATTGGAAGATGAGAAATAGTCACCAGACAGTACTGCTGTAAAAGAGCTGAACAGTCTTTTCCATCTATTGTTTTTAGGTAGGGGTCTTGAAATCGGTAGTTTGGCTAACAAAGCTGACCCAATTCGATTGGGAAGAAAAATCAACATATGTTTATCCCTAAATTTAACACAACTTTAAATTCAAATAAAATCTGGACTAATAGAAGCATATGTACTATATAACACATAACGGTGAGTGTGTTTAGTGTGTGGCATATTTTACACATTTCAAAAATCCCTGAGGAAAGCACAATTTATTGAGCAGCGTTTAAATACCTTTTTTGGATAAAAACTTGTGTTGAATGAGAGGCAGAACACTGAGAACTTGGATCCTTCAGTCCATTGATCAGTGTGAATTAGTGTACACTTTCATGTCTGGTTAGCGGTGTGTTGAGTGTGTACAATTCTAGAGATAATTACATTTCTGGGCCAGAGAAGTGCTCATGGGTGAAGACCACTTGTTGCTCTTGCACAGGACCTGGGTTTGGTTTTCAGCACCTACGTTCACAACCATCTGGAACTCCAGTTCCAGGGGATACAACCCCCCTTCTAAACTTCATGGACACTAGGCACACATATGGTGCGTATAAATACATGCAAAATTTTAGTAACTAAACCTAATGATGTTATTTCCAGTGCATGTGAATACTTGAGAGAACTATAGCACAGTTTCTTCAGTCAGAACCCTGAGAAACCGTGTCGAGATAGAGGACCTAATTCTGCAAGTGGAAGGTTTCTGTGAGCTTTTGGAATTACCAGGAAAACTGAATGTAGCCTGTAGATATTTTGCTAGGAGTGCATATTACATAGTCTTCGGAAGTAAATGTTTTTATCTTTTCATAGGCGGTCGGTTTTGTGGTGCCAGGGATCTGAGCCAGGGCCTTAGGCAAGTGCTAACCATGGAAAACCTCCCAGGCTGGTTTTCTAAGACTTTAGACACCATTTTCCAGATCTTCTTGATTTTTGAGTACTACTTACAGAAATCTTACAACTGAAGGTTTTTAAATCACAATGTGCTATGAAAGACTGTTCTATACATAATTATTTTATTTCTCCCTTCATGTTCGTGTGATCTGAAGGTCCCGATAGGCTTTTAGAAGGAAACTTAAGAGGATTTGCTGATATACTCAAGAGTTAGTTCAGTGAGTTCAAAGCTGGAGAAGGAAATACGGATTTAAAAAATTTACGATTTTTGTGATTCCAAATTTTTTATTGCTGACAGTTTTTAATGGCATAACCTTTCAACTTTTTGTTAGTTTTTGTTTTTGAGACAAAAGTCTCATGTACCTCAGACTGACCTCATACTTTCCATGTAGCTGAGGCTAGCCTTGATCCCTTGCTTCCACCTGCTGAATGTTAGTGGTAGAGGTGTGTGCTCGGGGTTTCAGCATGTACTCTGCCAACTGAGCTACATCCCCAACCCCAATGTCTGCACATTTTATGAGTAAATGGATGTAATCTCTTTATCTCGTTGAAAGAAGTCATTAGACATAGGCAAGCAGATGAAAATCTATATAATACACAAATGAAAAGTAGCTATAATGATTGTAGTAATTTCCTGATGGTTATGTAAAATGACTGACACTTGGGAAGAATTTAGAGAATAAGTAAGCTTTGAATTGAATGATGTTAGTATAACTTGCTTCTAAGCAACTATAGATCACTTAATAAGATCGCTGCTATAGCACTACAGGATATATTGCTTTACCTTCCCTATTTACAACTCAAGTTTTACACATATAGTTCTCTAGTTATTAATATTTATGCTATTAGGAGTTTAAGTGGGTGAAATAAATAAACTTGTATCAAATTGGTGTCATTTTAAAATTAAAAATGTTTTGTATTCAAGACTTAATATTATTAAATTTGCATTTGGGTGGGGCATGGTGATACCTTCCTTAATCCCAGCACAGAGGGGGCAGAGGTAGGCAGGCTAGCCAGGACTACAAACTCACAAACTTGCTTCAGGAACCATAGAATCGAGGGTTGAGGTTCTCTAGTTAGCTATCAATAAAACTATGTCCTAGTTAACCTTAATCTTAACCTCCTACCCTCTTTAGCACATAATTAGGTGAGTGACCTCTGAGGACTTTTAAAGCTCTAAAATTATGAGTGGTCCAACACATTTAATGCAAAGGTAAAGATGTAGGGCTTGCTTTTAAAGGAAATTTTAGAAAATACACTGTGTGAGTATGTCATAGATGTTAATTTCTTTTAGCCAACCTTTGAAAACTTACAGTATTTGATGTAGTTTAATACTTGAGGCTCAGTTCTGGTATGAGTGAGTGTGTATGTGTATATAGATTAATGAGGGAAAAACAATTGTCTGACATTATTACTTTCCTAATTATTTATGTGAACATATAATGTATGCACTGTTTTGATTTGGGAGAAGATTTTCAGTTGAAAAGATTCTGCTTTCTTTTCTGAAGTGCGCAATCCTTGACGACCTCGACCTCCTCCTCCTCCTCCTCCTCTTCCTCCTCTTCCTCTTCCTCTATCCTTCCCACCTCCTTTTTTTGTTTTAAGACAAGGTCTCACTATGTAGCTGAGGCTGTCCTGGAATTTAGTATGTAGACAAGGCTGGCCTCAAACTCAACAGGGATCCACCTGCCTTTGCCTCCTGCGTGCTGACATTAATTTCCTTTTTCTTTTGAGAAGGGAGGTCATCAGAGTTTACTCTACAGTCCCCATCCCCCCCCAAGACAGGGTTTCTCTGTGTAGTCCTGGCTGTCCTGGAACTCACTCTGTAGACCAGGCTGACATTGATATCCTCCTGCCTCTGCCTCTGAGTGCTGGGATTAAAGGCGTGTGCTGTGACCACCTGGCTGCAGTGCAGTTCTTAAACGCAGAGGAAATTTGTCTATGGAAATACAAGGTAGTCTGTGTGTGAATTCATGCACATCTGGAAACCAGAGGTTGGCAGTAGGCATCTTCTTCAGTCACTCGGCCTTATTGTTCTGAGACAAAACTTCTCATTGAGCTTGCAGACTGGCTGTCCACGAAGTCCCTGAGATCCTCCTGTCTCTGCTTCCCTGCTGGGGTTATAGTTGCTTGTAACACTGGCAGAGGACTGGGGATTGAGCACCCAGTTCCTTATTTGGGTGCTGGGTATCCAGTTGAGATCTTCCTGCTTTCCTGGTAAGCAGTTTACCAACTGCGACACCACATCAGCGCTAGTTATCTCATGAACAGAACAATGTATATATTTGGTCAGTGTTCATCACGAATTTAAAATTGAAGAAATCTCATTTCTGAATATCTAGTAAAGGTTGGTTATCTCTTACCCATAGTATTTCGGACAGAAGTGTTTCACTTACCAACTTTTCTTGATTTTGGAATATCAGCATATGCAAGCCCCAAAACATTTCAGAAGTTCAGATTTGGATATTACCGTGTCAGTCTTGAAAAAAAATCATTAAAAGTAGCATTATATGAAAAAGTAGGGCCAGCTGTTGGTGGCATATATGTCTTTAAGCCTAGCTTCTGGAAGTAGAGGCAGACAGATGTCTTTAAGTTCAAGGCCAGCCTGGTCTACAGAGAGAGAGAGTTCCAGGATAGCCAAGGCTACACAGAGAAACCCTGTCTTGAAAAAACGAGAGAGAGAGAGAGAGAGAGAGAGAGAGAGAGAGAGAGAGAGAGAGAGAGGGAGAAGAAGTAGGTACCATGTATTGAAATAAAAATAAAAGAATGGCTTTTTTTTTTTTTTGTCCAGAGACTTACCTTGCTGTTGGACAGATGACTGAGTGGTAAAGGTGCTTGCCAGGCGATCCTGGAGACTGAGTTCAGTCTCTAGGAACCAGATGCAGATGGATGAAGATAAATGACTCCAGAGTTGTCCTTTGACCTACACACACACCACAGCACGTGTGTCCCTGTACATATTTGTGTACACACACATCAAAAGTAACATCTGGGCTTGGGGATTTAGCTCAGGGGTAGAGCGTTTGCCTGGCAAGCACAAGGCCCTGGGTTCGATCCTCAGCTTAAAAAAAAAAAAAGTAACATCTGGGGGTGGAGTGTATGACTTAGTAGTAAGGTCCTGGATATGATCTCCAGTATAGGAAAAAAATTGTAATGTCAGGGTATAAGGTCAATCAGTAATTCAACAAAGCAGTTTTCTTTAGAAACAAATAATGGGCAAGGTGGTCTTACACACCTTTTATCCCAGTAGTCAGGATGCAGAGGCAAGTGAATCTCATGAGTTTGAGGCCAGCATGGTCTACAGAGCGAGTTCCAGGGCAGCCAGGGTTATGCAGAGAAACCCTGTCTCGAAAAACCAAGGGGCGGGGATGGAAGGAAAAGGAAGAAACAAAAAACGTTAGAGAAAAGCAGACAGTATACTGATCTAGAGATTTTGGGAGACTGTCAGGGAGTCTAGAAAGTCAAAATATTTTTCATGATATTGAAAGATAATACTCGCCTTTCAGTTTTACAGGTGTACAGAAAAAATATAAAAAAATTAAAAATATTCCCAGAAAAAATTTATATATAATATATATATTATATATATAATTTATATATATATATAAAAATAAAGCATGCTGGATTTAGTGGCACACATCTATAATCCCAGCTACTTTGGAGACTGAGGCAGGATTATTGCAAGCTCATGTCTTAAATAGGCTATGTAGTGAATTCAAAGCTAGCCTGGGCAAACTAAATGACACCCTGTCTGAAACATAAGTGAATGAATGAATGAATGAATGAATGAATGAGGGCTGAGGATATAGTGTAGCTGAAGTATTCCTGTGTCCCGCTTGGCCTAAGGTTGGGACAAATGTCTCACCCACTGTCCTGCAAATAAACACACAGAGGCTTATATTAATTAAAACTGCTTGGCCACTAGCTCAGGCTTACTACTGACTAGCTCTTACACTTAAACTCAGCCCATTTCTGTTAATCTATATGTCACCACGTTTTCCATGGCTTTACCTGTGTGCCAGTACATGCTGCTCCTTAAATGGCTGGAGTCTCCTGACTTGCCTTCCTCTTCCCAGCATTCACCTTGTCTGCTTATCCCGCCTATACTTCCTGCCTGACTACTGGCCAATCAGCGTTTTTATTTAAACAGTGTAGAAAAAGCATTATCCCACAGCATTATAGCTTAACAGTAGACTGCTTGCCCAGCATATATGAGGCCCTGGGTTTAATCTGTCATGAACCCCCACCTCTAACACGTACATATATACCCAATACATACATACATACATGCATGTATACATAACATACACACTTGTAAAGCCACTGAGTTATTTTAGTTATTTTTCATAACATATATTCATATTTAAGTAGCATGCATACGATTATAAATGAGTAAATATTCTTGAAGTTAAAGGTTTGTTTGCTTTTTTGTTTATTGTGCTAGCCCATGCTGGCTATACTAAAGCTCCTAAATGTTGGGCTTTCAGGCATGAAGTCATGATGCCTGGCTAAGTTTTATTTTTCTACAATAACTATCTGTAGATAAGTCTTATTTTCACCCAAAATCTTTTTGAGATTCTCAATAATTTGAATGCAGAAGTGTCTTCTGACCAAAGTTAAGTTTAAGAATGGGTTTAGGCTGTCATTTGGTGTAATGGCCACTAGCCACCTGTGAGTATAGAGTACTTGAGATCTGGCTGGAAAATTCAATTTTGAAAGTTCTTTATATTGATTACATGCTGACATAGCAGTATTTTGGATGTATTATGTTAAACAAAAGGTATTACTTTCAGTTGGAGATGTAGCTCAGTGATTGACCCCTCGCCCCCATAGAAAGGTATTAATACCACCTTTGTACTTTTTTTAAATGTGGCTATGAGAAAATTTTAAATTATGGCTTGAATTTAATTGGCTAACACTGGCTTAGAAAGTAATTCTCATTGTCTTTTTATACTTACAAAGCTATATTGATTGAGGGTCAAAGGAGACAGATGTGAAGGTGAACGATCCCAGATCTCTTCATTGCAGTGGTTTACGGCCTGCTCTGTCCCGACGGGAGCTCTGAGTGTTAGAGGATGTGGTCAGTCAGTGCAGAGCTTGAGTGATGACCTTGGAAATACTAGTTTATGGTGCTGTGTTTAGGAGAAAACCACTAACACCTAATGAAGTATTTCTCATTTTTCCATTGCTCTCACACTCCACTGCTAGTAAAGTTTATTTCTGACTCGAGAACATTGTTATGAACTAGATCCATTGCCAACGTCCTCTCATGCAAAGCTGGGAGGTATGCCTCTTGTCAGACTTAATTACCAAGTTTGGTATTTTACAACAGCTGCTGAAAGTCTGGAGCAGTGTACTACAAACACCAGCTGATTAGAGATGGAGCTGGAGCGGGCATATTTACCCACAGTAAATGGCAGCACAACCATGCTTATTGATGGCGGTGTGCTCAGAATTAAATCGCTCTGAAATATATTTGATACATTACTTGAAGGAGGTTTGGCCAGGAGTTCAGCTGCTAGAAAATGAGACCTGCCCAGTTACTTCCCAGTTTGTTTCTGTTTTTAAACTGAGTAGCTTCTTTTCTACCATAAATTTCATGCATGTCTAGAAAGTAGTAAGAACGAATTTTATTTGCAGATGTTGCTTTTATTGCAAGGCACTGTTAAATTGATAGTTATATCTTTAGAAATATGCAGTTTTATTTTATTTATTTATTTATTTATTTATTTATTTATTTGGTTTTTTTGAGACAGGGTTTCTCAGTGTAGCCCTGGCTGCCCTAGATCTCGCTCTGTAGACCAAGGTGCCTTGAACTCACAGAGATCCGTCTGGCTCTGCCTCCCGAGTGCTGGGATTAAAGGCATGCACCACCACTGCCTGGCTGCAGTTTTAATTTTTTAATTATTGAGCTGAAGAAAACAGTATTGAAAATTTAAAAGTACTACAGAACTAGAGAGATATTAAATTTCTGGTATCAAAGATTATTTTAGAAAGTCACCTGTTGACTTAGGTCAACAAAGTCTAGATACTCCTCCCTTTATAGAATGGGTAAAATATTCTGGAACTTCTCACCCAACACCAGGCTTTTAGGTTTTTATTATATGGAGCCGCAGATGAACACGGTAAGTTCCTAAAGTAGAAAGTAACACTCACTCTCTTTAGCAAGCCGTTCAGTTACAGAGTTATGAGATTATTTTACATTTATATTTGGGTTTTGACAGTACTCTGAACGCGAAGCTACAGGAGGCAGAGGCTCTGTTCAGACACGGAACTCAGATTTGTAGCCCAGCACTCAGCACCTGAGAAACAGGTGATACAGCCTGGCTGTCCTTATAAATTAGGGCTATTTAAAGTACTAGTCAAATATTTTTGGGTTATAATTTGTTAAATTTTAGGGGGAAGAGAAGTTTGGGGTCAGAAGTAGAAACAAGAAAATACACTTTAAAAACCTAATTGGAATTGGGTGTGGTGCTACACCCTTGTAATCTCAGCACTTAGGGAGCAAAGCAGGAGGATGGGGGTTCAAGATTTCTGCCATGTCTAGAGTTCCAGGCCAGCCTAAGCTACATGACACTCCCATCTCAAGAAACAAACCAGAGCAGAACAGAATCAAGATTAGTTTGTAGTAACATGAACTTAACATGAATTTAATGATTTTGAAAATGCACCCCAAGCTATCTAAGAATTTAGGGCACACAATATATAACAGTTAGGCAAGTATTTTTGTAGTTGTTATTTATAACTTAAATATTTTAAAATCTGTAGTTTTATTGCCCTCTGATTATTAAATACTTGAAGCTATAATTGTAGTAGCACACAGTTTTTAGAGTATATCTTCATAATATTACATAAGGAATTAGCTTACCCAGGATAGTTTATTAATAGCTCCTAAGACGACAGCTAAATTACAACACCAATCCTGCTTTAAAGAGAATGGCTCCCGGGTGGATGTTTAAACCTGAGAATTCGCTTCCTGAGGGTTGTTAGTGTCTGTGAGTCTTAGAGGAGGCCCTGTGAAGAACATCCTCAAGATTGGCCGTGTCCTCTATACTAAGTTTTAAAGCTGAACTAGTAGCTGAGGGAACCGTTTGCCTCGCGGAAGCTGCAGATAAGAGTAAGCAGGGTCACCTAAAGATAGATTTACTTAGAGGTTTGGCTGCCTCTCCCAGTCCTTTAGCTTGGAGCACATTTCCATAAATGGAAAGAGCAGCTGGAGAGGCCCGAGTACCTAGCTTGAGAGTGTGGACGGTGTGGAACAGGTGCTAAAAGAGGCCTGAAGTTCTAAAACAAGTGCTCCCCAAATGACTTCCTTTTGAAAGGCCGAGGTTTTAGCATTTGGTGAATTTGGAGGCTCTGAAAAATTTTCTTTTTACGATTCAAGTTTCTTGAGACAGGCTTTAGAAGATTCACGTCTGGACTTGTGAATTTGGCATGGCTTTATGAAACTAGGAACAGTCACAGCAGCTCCTTAGGAGAACATCTTCAGAAAAACAGATTAAAATTTATTATTTATGTTTTAGAACCTCTAATCACATAATTATTCAGTATATAAATAAGTCAGAGTGTGAAATAAATGTACGACTAAGATAATGAATTCTTGACAATTCTCCTGTAAGATCATGGGATTGTTTTTAACTTGATACATAAAAGAAATGCACGTGTTATATGGAAAATCTGGGGCTAGATATACTGCTTAGAGGTGGAACACTTGTCTAGCAATGTGAGAGGTGCTGGGTTTGATCCTCAACATTTGAAAATGAAACAAAACCAGTTGTGAATGCAAAGCTTACCCTTTTACAGGAATAAGAGGTCATCATACTGAATTCCCATTTCATGCCAGGCACTGTATGTGGTTTCCACAGCTATTTGTGGAAATTGCCCTGCTCTGTCAAAGCGGAAACTTTGGCATCGGAGAGTAAGTGTATTGCCTTAGTGGCAGAGTCTAAGAACCCTGCTGTTAGACCTGCAAGTGCAAACCTCTGTCTGAGTACCTCATTGTTTCACCAGTCATTTGATAGAGAGCATGAAAGACATGTAAGAGAGATAGGAAGAGCAGTTGAATGGGACCGGCTTCCGGGTAAGATCATCTGTCTCTATCCATCCACCCCCACCTGTACATTTCTTAGGGAAAACCCAGCGAAGCCCACTGACATTCTGAAAAGCACAATGTTACTGTGAAAAAAGTTAGGAAGTGTTGTGACAGTAAAATTAATAGCTTGCCTGGCGATTGTCCACTCACAGGAGACTATATAAAAATTGAAGCAATTCATTAGGCTGCTTAGAACAGAAGTGCTTCTAACTGATTTCTGTTGGCAATCATATTACCCCAGCTTAGAGACATAATTGACCCACAGGGTGGTGGTTCTTTCTCTGTTCCCCAGCCCCTGTGGACGATTCTCCCAGGTGATTGTGGTCTAAAATGGATGCAGATTTCATATTTCAAGGTTCTTTCTTTGTTTTCTTTTGGTTAAGATCCAGGAACTTCTCAGTAATTTCTAATTAGCTTCATTGGGTTTTTGGTTTTGAGATAGGGTCTGCCTATATATAGCCCAGGGTAGCCTCAAACCCCATTCTCTGCCCGAACCTTCCAAGTACTGGGGTTATGAGAATGTGACACTATTACCTGGCTTATTGGTTGCTTTTAAAATCAACACTCACTTTACACAGCGTAGACGTTAGCTTTAGTATTCTTTATTACTTAGTAAGTAGTAATGAGTACTCCTTGGCTTGTGTAGAATTGTGATATTCAGTAATGATATTAAGTTGTTTGTTCTGTTTTCCACAGTGGAAGCATCTGTTCATGGCAGTAATGCACACTGTACAGACAAGACAATTGAAGCTGCTGAAGCCCTGCTTCATATGGAATCTCCTACCTGCTTGAGGGATTCCAGAAGTCCTGGTATGTGAGCTGTCCAGTTTATACTAAATGATACATTGTTTCCATTAGAATGAAGACTGAGATCAGTAATTGATGGGGAAGGCTCTAGAATCTTTTTTTTTTTTTTTTTTGGTTTTTCGAGACAGGGTTTCTCTGTGTAGCTTAGGTGCCTATCTTGATCGAACTCACAGAGATACACCTGACTCTGCCTCCTGGGTGTTGGGATTAAAGGCATACGCCACCATGCCCAGCGAAGGCTCTAAAATATTAAATGCTGTGCTTAATGTCCTAATAAGTAATGCAGAAAATGCCCACAAATTTTTATTAAGCAGCTGTGTATGTTGTCATGTTTATTTTCTTGATTCTGAGTAAATTGTAGATAGTTGTAGTCCTTAAGAGCAGGACAAGTTGGATCATTAGTTGTAGTCCTTAAGAGCAGGACAAGTTGGATCATTTGCTTCCTGTAGCCTTTCAATCCTTGACTCATTCGTCAACAGGCAGTCACTACCTAACCAGAAGAGGGGGTCAGATCCTCTGGGACTGGAGTTACAGATGGTTGTGAGCTGCCATGTGGTTGCTGGGAATTGTATTCCGGTCCTGAAAGGGTATCAGTGCTCTTAAACACTGAGCCATTTTTCATTTTTCCTGCAACCATCTTTTTAATTTCATTAGGATCCAATGCATTCAAGGACATGAGAAGTAAGCGGTGGCGTTATTGGGTAGCATATTGGTCCATGTTAGGATACAGTATCTGGATCTACTAATTTCAAATAGAAATGTGTTATCCTGGTTACTCAAGCATGTGTGAGGGAAGTTGAAGTAACATTATTGTATATAATCTGTTGTATGTATGTATTGATAGCAATCTGTATGTACTATTTTAGTGACTTAAAATGATATTTATTGTCTTAAAATGAACAGTTAGTCCCTTTCTCATATTTTAAAATGAAAAAAACTTTGTACTTTGTACTGAACTTATAAATTTTTAAATTTTGTATCATGTCCTTGTATTTCCCAGTTAATGAATGATAGATATGTGCAATGAAAATAATTATTAAAGGACCATTATTTTTTAATTTTCTCTGTCAAAATCATGTAAGATGTTTCTATAATTAACCTAGAAGTTTCAAGGGAGTTGTGGAGAGATGGCTCAGGAGTTAAGAACACTGTGCTCTTGCAGAGGACCTGGGTTTGGTTTCCACACCACATGGTAGCTCCAATTCTAGAGGAGCTGATGCCCTCTTCTGGCTTCTGGAGGCAGTAGGCACACAAGTGTAGAAACATGTTGGCAAAACCTCCGTACACACAAAGTAAAAATAAAACCTTCTTAAAAAGGACCTCAAAGTATGAAAAAGAGGTTGATTTCCTAACTGTCAAAACGATTGTCCTTTATTTTAGATAGTTTTGGATATTCAGTAACTTGACTTCTTCAGGCACAAGTTCTTATCTTGCTTTGGATAATTCTGTAAACCTCGTCTCTTGTAAATATTGACCTGTCCACATAGGAAACTATAGCAGGGGTGGGAAATTGTAATTTTTCAACTTTTTTTAATAGTGGAAGTGTTTGTCCCTCCTTGTCTATCAACTGCAGAGTTCATCCACGCGGCGATGCGGCCAGATGTCATTACGGAGACTGTAGTGGAGGTGTCAACGGAAGAGTCTGAACCAATGGACGCCTCGCCTATTCCCACTTCACCAGACAGCCACGAGCCAATGAGAAAGAAAAAAGGTCGGGGATACTGATCAAATCGGGGAAGTCTTTCCCATCTTATCTTTTATTTTGGTTTGTTGTTTTGGTTTGGTTTGTTTTTCCAGACAGGGTTTCTCTGTGTAGCCCTGGTTGTCCTAGAACTCACAGAGCTCTGCCTGCCTCTGCATCCTGAGTACTGGGATTGGTACTGAGTATTACTGCCTGGCGGATTGATGTTATCTTAACTAGACTCAGCAATACAGCAAATTGAGATGTAAAGATTGTGCTTTAGGGATGAGGGGGTCTGTAGTTGGTATGTAAAATGAATAAAACGTTTCTTAATAAAGAAATGACGCAAGGGAAAAAAGATTGGGCTTTAAAGCCAAGCAGCGGGGGCCATGCCTTTAAACCCAGGTCTCTGAGTTCCAGGACAGCCAGGACTGCTTCACAGAGCAACCCTGCCTTGAAAAAAAATTAAAAAGATTGGGCTTTAATATTGATATTGTTCAAAGATGTTTATAGTCAGGCCTGGTGATACTGACTGAAGCAGGAGGATCTAGTATTGAAGGCCAGTGGGCAAATAAGTCTAGTATTTATTTAAAATAAAAATAATTCCCCGAATTGCTGATATATCATGATGATAGGGCACTTGCCTGGCATGTTCCATTCCCTGTACTGCTTGCCACACACACCCTCAGTCAAAAAGATGTTTGCATTTAAGCTCTAAAGGTGCAGGTGCTGGGTTCCCAAAAGAACCAAAGTCCCTCAGTTGTCTCTCTTCCTGGTGTAAACTCTTTAGAGGAACTTGCTTGTTACATTCAAACTTGCTTTTTAGATTTTTGAATTATTTTTTGGGTTAGGTCTTATTTATATATAGTTCAGGCTATCTTTGAATTTATCATTCTCCTGCCTTGGCCTCCCCAGTATTGAGATGATTATAGACACACAAACACACCAGAACTATCAAGTAACACACATAGTATGTTTTCTTCCTTTTGTGGACAGTGTAAACCAAGCCAGCCATGATGTGACATGCCGGTGGGTAATTTTTTCTTTTTATTTAAAATTTTTTTCATATAATATATTTTGATTTTTCTCCCTCCCGTAATGACTTCCAGATCCTCCCTGCCTCCCTACCAACCCAACTTCATTCCCCTTTTCTCTTTGCCCAACAGCTCTGCCTACCCCTCCTCTGTCTAGTTATTGGCCATTCAGCTTTTTATTATACCAGTCAGGTGCCTTAGGCAGGCAAGGTCTTTACGTGGTTAAACAAATACAGCATGAACACAAGCAGCGCATCTTCACAGAGTTAAACAAAGAATTCCGTCCCACAACAGGGAAGAGACACTGACCACAGCAACTCTTCTAAAGGAAAACATTTCACTGAGGTGGCAGCTTCCACTTAGTCCATTATCAGCGGGGCGGCATGCAGGCAGATGTGGTGCCGGCCACATCTTGATCAGAAGACAGCGGGAAGTCATCTCAACACTGGGTGGTATCTTGAGCACAGGAAACCTTGAAAGCTTGCCCCCATGGTGACACACTTCTTCCAACAAAGCCACACCTCCTAATAGTGCCATTCCCTCTGAGCTTATGGGGGCCAATAGCATTCAAACTACCACAGTGTGTGTATATGTGTGTATACATGTATATGCACATGAGATTTGTACACACACACCAGAATATTTAGCCATGAAAAAGAGGGGAATCATGTTTGCAGAAAAATGAGTGGAGCAAGCAAAATAAACTAGACTTAGGGAAACAAACATTGTCTTCTCTTAGGGAACCAAGACTGAAGAAAACAAAATGTGATAAAACAGTGTGAGGTGACATATACTTGTAATCTCAGGCAGGAGGATAATCAGTTTTAGGCCAGGCTGGATCATGGAAGTAGAAGGGGACAATTTGGGGCAGGGAAAAGGACCTGGCCTGGAAGGAGGCCAGAAAGAGTAGTGTGGCTCAGTAGTATACTGTATGTATGAGAATGTGATAACGAAACCCATTACCTTGTGCAGTCAAGATATACTAATCGGACATTAAACATACACACAATTCTGTGTTTATTGCTGTCCCCGCGACAGTCGGAATGCCATTATCTGTGTGTTTTTGTTACTATGTGCATTTGAACACACAGTCTTGGTAGGTTTTTTAAGGTATTTTATTGTGTGTGATGTGTGGGTGCCGGGGTGCACATACAGAGCTTAGAGGAAGCTGCTTCGGTCCCCCTTTCACCTTCATGTGAATTCTGGGGACTGGGCTCAGGTTGTTGGGGGCTCCGTGGACTGGCCGAGCCACCTTGCGAGCACCCTAACCGTACTTTTCCCGAGGACCCAGTGGAACTCATTTCACATGTGCCCTCAGTGTGTTGAAGTCAAGCCCTTGCTTATCTGTCTTTGTTGTCTGGCAGAAATAAGGACAAACGTGAATGATACATGCATTCATTAGACATAATCACTTGGAAGAGTGTGTTGTTTGCTGTTTTTCAACATTTACAGTGTATCTACAAGTTGACAAGGGGAAATTTTAACACTTCAGCTTAAATTTTTGGTGAACTGTCTGGCTCACGATATAAATGGTGTTAATGTTCTGTTTGTTTGAGCTCGAGGGCTTCCCATGATCAGCTCCTCTGCAGTGAGTAGGTGAAATTGTTTCTAACTGCATGAGGCGAGGGAGAGTATGATCAAAGTATACTTTCTATGCATGTATGAAGCTCTTAAAGAGTATAAATAAATGTACTACAGATCAACCAACCAACCAACCAGCCATCCTGAATAACTTTCTAACAGCTGGGTGTGGTGGTGCACCCCTTTGGTCCCAGGCCTCGGAGGCAGAGGCAGTAGTGTCTCTGAGCTCAAAGCCAGCCTGGTCTACACAGTGAGCTCTAGGACAGCCTGGTCTACACAGTGAGCTCTAGGACAGCCTGGTCTACATAGTGAGTTCTAGGACAGCCTGGTCTACACAGTGAGCTCTAGGACAGCAGTCCAGAAAGGTAGCCGATTGAGGCTGTCTCTGACCATATGATAGAAGTTAGAGAAGTTACTGACGTTGTACAGTCAAGTTTCTACTCACTGTTTTACTTAAAATTGCAGGAGTGTTTAATGCTCCATTTACAAGTAACGTTCATACACAAGTCTTCTTGAGTGAGAGGAGTGTGCTAGGGATTGGACCCAGGGCTTCATGCTTGCTGGGCAAGTGCTCTACCACTGAGCTACACTGAGTAGACTGGCCTTTAAAGTCCTCTATGACCCAGGCTGTTCAGAGTCTTCCTTCTCAGCTTTTCATGAGTGTGTGCCACCTCTCCTTGGCAGTGACTGTGTTAATCTGCACATTAGTGTCTAGTTTAGTGAGGACTGTGTTTTTAGAGAGTCTGGGAATTATTTCTGTCTTCAGTTTATGGTTTCATTGTCTTATTTTCCAGTTGGCCGCAAACCAAAGACCCAGCAGTCACCAGTTTCCAATGGGTCTCCTGAGTTAGGAATCAAGAAGAAAGCCAGAGAAGGAAAAGGTAATTTGTGGAGGGTCATTTGGGGAATAAGACTGTTTTTGGTGACATTTTTTGCAGTTGTAAGAAGGATTGTTTTTAGTAGATGTACAGATGGGAGTCCCATCTCTCAGCATTTCTTAATCAGGTGTGGGTCAGCATTATGGAGAACTTATCAAAAGAGCTATGTCTCAGAGAGATGGAGAGTGGTCGAGTCCACAGGACAGCGCAAACCACAGTGTTGTTAGGGACCATTGTCATGTTGAGCCACTTGAATAGAGGAGGCCGTATACTTGTTCGTTGATTTGGGTGGCTGTGACAGTCGGGTGACAATCTGTGAGAGCCAGCAGCTCTGTACTGTGTGCTCCTAGTGACTGAGCTTAGGTCATCAGTCTTGGCAACAAGCTCTGACATTTAAGCTACCTTTGGCCTTCTGATACATACTTCTTTTCTTTGTTACAAGACAGGGTTTCTTTGTTGTAGCTCTGGCTGTCCTGGAACTCAGAGATCACCTGGCTTTGCCTCCTAAGTGCTGCATGTAAAGGTGTGCATCACCACACCCAACTCTTTTTTTTTTTTTTTAAGATCTCCTGGAGTTGGAGTTACAAGCAGTTATGGGTGCTGGGAACTGAACACAGGTCTTCTCCAAAAGCAGTCAGAGTTCTTAACCATTCAACCATCTCTTCAGACCCTCTGCTTTCTTCTTTGGTGTGTTTGATGATCCCATAAACAAAAGTTATCTCTGGTTGATAAGTAAATGTGTTTAGATTGATAGTCTTAAATTTTTTATTAATATGTTTAAATTTGTCCTCTTTTTAATAGGTTTACTATGTAATCTAGTGAAAACTGTGCCTAATAAGTCCACAGGGAAATTTGGTATTAGTTATATCCAAGAGGAAGAAAGAACAAACTCCAGTTTCATTGATCTTTTCTTAGTTTGGGACAGGTTTCTGACGTTCACTTCCTTGTCTGCCCCTAGTCATCTGCATTTCCAATGGGTTAGGTTTTTGTTTTTCAATGTATACTGAGAAGCTAAGTGATGTATCGCAGCCGTTAGGAAGACTTGCCTAGTAGACACCTAGTAGACACGTTCTCCAGCATGAAGTAGCACAGTGGTGCACACCTGTAATCCCAACAAGAGGATCAAAGATTCAGGGTCATCCTTGGCTACCTAGAGAGCTTGAGGTCAGTTTGGGTTACCATTAGACCTTCCCCCAAATTGCAATATTGCAAACATTAAAGTTACACTGTCATAGTAAATCTGTAACTAGTAAGTGGAAAGTCAAACTGTAAATAGGTAAGTATTTCTGGTTTGTTTGCTTTGTAGTGGTGCTGTAACTGAAGGCCTTGCACACACTAAGCAGGCACTCTGTTTCTGAGCCACATCCTCACCTCCTCGTCACTTTCACTTAAATGTAGTCTAAGCTTGAAGCAGATGTTATGATATGGTTGAAGTTACAGTTAAAGCTGCAAACTCAGGATAAAGTGTCTGTCATAGCCATAGTCCTCTGAAAGCTTCCATGTCTGAATTCTGCTTTCCTTCAAATTACTAAGTTGGGAATGGGAACTTGGACAAAGTAAAGATAACCTTACAGATGTTGATGAGTCTACTTAATTCAACAAACAGAATAATTTAAATTCTTGTTAAATCTCTGCTCACTTTTCCTGGTCCAGTCATAGTATCTAATAACCCCCTGCTTGTAAAAGAGTGGCCCAGCTGCATGTTTTATGTGGTTGAGTGATGTGCATGGCCAAGAGCTGCCAGGTACTGATGGGGATGCAGTGCTGCTTCAGAGATGATGAGGTGGTGCTGAGGAGGCTGGCCTTTTTTGGCCAAGGGATGCATACTGTGATCAGCTGTGAGCGATTAATGAGTTTGTTGACTTTGAAGGGAGTTCTGAGTGGAAATGAAGTGCCAGTGTTTGAGTTGAAGATGGGGCCGCAGTGGGTTAGGTTTGGTTTGGAAGCCTCTCCTGAAGGTCTGCATTCCAGGATATAGTGAGGGATCGTTAGGAGAGGCATCTTGGACTGGATAGGAGGAACAAGTGTAATGTTGCCTTCTCCATCTTCTTTCATCGTCTAAGGATCCCTGCTTCTAGAGGTTCTGCAGGAAGAAAGAGGAAAACAGATTGCAAAGTGCTGGTTCTCTCCCCCTTTCCAAGGGAAACGGATAAATAAGAAAATCTTAGAGTGAGGAAAGGCGCAAAGGTACTCCGAGAAACCCTGTCTCGAAGAACAACAACAACAAAAAATCCTTTTCTTCCTTTTGGGATTAAGTTATTTATTGTACTTGCTAGATCCCCCTTTTATGCGTATTTTAACTGTCTTCCACGACTTACCATTCCTGAAATGTTAATCACTGTTTCCTGTGATTCTTTGAGACCTCTAGTTACCATTGCCTTGTGATCTGTCTTACACTGTTTCTGGCTGACAATGCATCGTTGTCTATCTTGTCTTCTACTACCGTCCCCAAATTGTCAGTTCCTCAAGGCAGAGATCCGATCTTCTCTACTTGGGTTGATAGATACGTGTAGATGCTGTAGCTGAAGTTTTCCTGTGTCCCAGCCTGCCAGCAGTCAGGACAAATCTCTCCCACTAGCGCTCCCTGAGTAAACACACAGAGACTTATGTTACTTCTAAACTGTATGGCCGTGGCAGGCTTCTGGCTAGCTGTTCTTATATCTTAAATTAACCCATTTCTATTATTCTATAAGTTGCCACGTGGCTCGTGGCTTACTGGTATCTTAACATCTGCTTCTCATCATGGTGGCTGGCAGTGTCTCTCTGCCTCAGCCTTCCACTTCCCAGAATTCTCCTCTCTGCTTGTCCCGCCTATCCTTCCTGCCTGGCTACTGGCCAATCAGCACTTTATTTATCAATCAATCATCCACAGCACGATGCTATTTCTATTTTCTATTCATGTGTAATGTCTGTAGGTATGTGCATGTCAGTGCGGGTGCCCGTGGAGGCCAGAGGCATCCGAGTCTCAGAGCTGGAGTTTGTAGGTAGTTCTGAGCTGTCTGATAAGGGTGCTAGGATCCCAACTTTGGTCCTCTGGAAACAGAATGAGCTTGTAATCACTGAGCCATCTCTCCAGCCTCAAGTGTAGACATTTTGTTTTGCAGAGATATTTTAGTATTCCCTCAGTTTTGATGTTGCTGACAGTGTGATCCATGACAAATATGTGCCTAGTTCAGTGGTCCATGCTCCTAGTCCTGTTTCTGTTTAGGAACACGTATCCTAGGACTGGAGCATAAGCATGTCTAACAGACCTGTTTATATATACTGAAGTGATTTAATCTATTATATTCACAGTACTGGGTACACTGTGTAGAAATATGAAATACTAAAAAAAGTGGTTAAAATACAGTAAATTATATGGTAGTCCAGTCTATGTTTACTAGCAGTTCAGAGATCATAAGAGTTCTTCGAAGATTGGGGCAGCCTGTACCGAGTACCCTACAGTTAAAGAAAAGCATTTCTTCCAAAGAGATCCTGATTGGTGTGCCCGTCGTTGTGGCACATGCTTGCTGTCCCAGCCCCGGGGAGGGGAGGTCAGTAGTCCAAGGCCAGCCTGGGCTCGAGACCCTGCCTCACCCAGCACTAGTAACAGCAAAGCTGGCTAGTGTTTCCGGTGAGTTTGAAGGGGCTTGGATAGAATACAGAACGAGTACAGATGATTATATTCAGAGTTCAAACCTGTATAAGTTAAGTAGGAAATTAGATTCTGTTCAGTTCAGGCAAGCATTGTATTATACTAAGCATTATGCTGTTGCCTCGCCTGAGCCTGAAGCCTTGGAACAAGACACATGACAGTATAGAATCTAGGGCCTCTATCAGCTTCCTTGTGGAAGAGCATACATTTTTAAGAACAGACACAGTCTGGGCATAGTGCAGGCCTTTAATCCCAGCATTGGGGAAGCAGAGGTCTTGGTTCGAGGTCAGTTTGGTTTACATAGCAAGTTTCAGGTTTGACTGGGCTGCATAATGAGACCTTGTCTCAAAAAGAAACAGCAAATAAGTATATTTAGGATTTTTATTGTAAATAAGGATATTTTATTTGCAATTAATCATATTAATGGATTTTAAATTAATGCTTGTCATTGTTTTTGCTTTGTTTTTAAAGGAAACACAACCTATCTGTGGGAGTTTCTTTTAGATCTACTTCAAGATAAAAATACTTGTCCCAGGTACATTAAATGGACTCAGAGAGAAAAGGGCATATTCAAACTTGTGGACTCAAAGGCTGTCTCGAAGCTTTGGGGAAAGCATAAGAACAAACCAGATATGAACTATGAAACTATGGGACGAGCTTTGAGGTGAGAATGAACACGGGCTGGTTTTTAAATGGAACTTACATGTCTGTTTAGATTGTCTGTTAGTTGTTAAAGTCCTTTAAAGGAAAGCTTTAAAAAAAAATCCCTTAATGTAACTTCTAATTTTGGTGAACAATCTAGAAGAATTTCTTAGATTTGGAAATAGATGGGGGAAAGAGAGGTTTGGTCTACATGCAGAATTTCAGTATTGGAAAACCCATATTTATTGAAAATGGATTCTGCATTTAGGACGGTTCTGGAATAGAAATTGTTACATTGTAGGTCTTTTAAAACATCCAACCCAGACTGGATGTAGTGGCATATGCCTTGCAGTCTCTACTGTTTGGTAATTGAAGACAGGAGGGTAAGACGTTCAAAGTCATTTTCCTTTACATAGTAAGTTTGAAGCCAGCCTGGACTACAATGAGATCCTATAAGAAATCCTAAATGAAATGCATTTTCCAAAGTTAATTTCCTTTTAGTTCCTGCAAATGTTGTAAATGACTTTATCTTGATAATGAAAAATTTTTGTTGTGTTGGGCAGTATGAGAAATCCATTAAATCCCAGTGTACACATTATTGCGTTTATTTATTTGAGACAGGCCTTGCCGTGTAGCCCAGGCTGGCCTGGGGCTTATGTAATCAGGCTAACTTTGAACTTGCATCAGTTCTCCTACCTTGAGGCAGGAGCCACTCCACATCATGGTTTTTTTTTTTGTGACAGTGTTCACATATTCCACAGATTGCATCTCTACTAAACATGGCTGAGGTGATTATTCCATATAAAGTCGGATTGTTTTTATAACAGTTCCTTGTAGTATCAATAGTGTCCTGTGTTTAGGCTAAGCTTTTCCAAAGAGAGACAGACTGCGATCTCATCACTTGGGAGGTGGAGGAAGGAGGATCAGTCTGGAGTTGGAAGCTAGCCTGCTCTGTGTAAACAGAGGTAGTGTGGTGCGGTGCTGGAGATGAAGCCCTTTCCTCTTAGTAGCGAGTCTCTCCTTCAGTCCTCGGTGCCACAGGTCTTTGTCCACATCACGGTTACAGAGCTGCATCGGCCACGTGTCATTGATGTGACCAAAGCAGCTCCGGGAAGAGCGGGACATTGACCGTGGGTGGACTGGCGTGGCCTCCGCAGCCAGACACAGATGGATGGGGGCACTTAGCCTACTTCTCCTTTTCAGTGGGTCATCCATGCCCCACTGTTCCATGACCCGCTTTAACTAAGCGAATCCAGAGACACTGCGAGTTAGTTCTTAAGTACTCTACACCTGGTCAGATTGACAGTCAGCATTAACCATCGGGGCCTGTGGAACGACATAGCAACTTGGTTTCCTCACAGCTCTGTAATCTTAGAAGTGCTCATCTCCAGAAGTAAATGTCTGTCCGTGTTGGCTTTACCGTGATGGCGACAGTACGATTGACTGTTTTTCCTCCCACAGATACTACTACCAAAGGGGGATTCTTGCCAAGGTTGAAGGACAGAGGCTGGTCTATCAGTTCAAGGATATGCCCAAAAACATAGTAGTCATCGATGACGACAAAAGCGAACCCTGCGCCGAAGACCTGGCCGCAGCCGCTGATGAGAAGTCCTTAGAACGAGTGTCACTGTCTGCCGAGAGTCTCCTGAAAGCGGCAACTTCTGTGCGCGGCGGCGGCGGCAGCGGCGGCGGCGGGGGGAAAAACTCCTCTATCAACTGCTCCAGAGCCGAGAAGGGGGTGGCTCGAGTTGTGAATATCACCTCCCCGGCTCACGACGCCTCCTCCAGGTCTCCTCCCACCACAGCGTCTGTGGCGGCGGCGGCAGCGGCTCCCAGGTGAGGGAGGCGGAGAACTCTGACACAGTGTTTTGTGTTTGGATGCTCCTTGGGACAGAGGGACCGTGCTTGTTTAATCTCTAGTAGCCAAGGCTGGATGAACACTGGAAAACATGCACCGTAGGGCTGGAGAGATGGTCAGTGGGAAGAGTACTGGTTGCTCTTCCAGGACCTGGGTTCAATTCCCATCACCTACATGGCACCTCACAACTGTCTGTAATTCCAGTTCCAGGGGGATCCCGCACCCTCCCACAGACATGAATGTAGACAAAACACCAATGCACATAAAATTAAAAAAAAAATTCTGGATTTTTAAAATACACTTTTAGCTATACATAGTGGAACACATCTATACTCCTAAGTACTGTGAGGCTGAGGCAGAATCACAAGTTCAAGGCCTGCCTGTGCTATAGAGTGAGTTCTAAGCTAGCAGTGAGTTAGCGGGACCTTGCCTCAAAAAGCTGGGGCTGTAGCTCAGTAGTAGGACACTTGATTAGCATGCGGGAGAAGCCAGGTCCAATACCCAGTAGGGAGCGGGAAGATTTTTTTCCTCAACTTTACTACAACTGTCAAAGTTGGAAGCACTGGTTTTAAGCCTTTGGATTTCATTTTTCATTTAGTACTGAACATAACCAACTTGTTTGGTTTTATCCACCAGGACAGTCCGTGTGGCGATGCAGGTTCCCGTGGTGATGGCATCACTGGGTCAGAAGATTTCAACTGTGGCAGTTCAGTCCGTCAATGCCGGCACACCGTTAATAACCAGCACCAGCCCGACTACAGCCACCTCTCCAAAAGTAGTCATTCAGACAATCCCGACCGTGATGCCGGCCTCTGCTGAAAGTGGTGACAAGATCACCATGCAGCCTGCCAAAATTATCACCATCCCCGCCACACAGCTCGCACAGTGTCAACTGCAGACCAAGTCAAATCTGACTGGATCGGGCAGCATTAACATTGTTGGAACCCCTTTGGCCGTGAGAGCACTTACCCCCGTCTCCATAGCCCATGGTACTCCTGTAATGAGACTATCTGTGCCTGCTCAGCAGGCTTCCGGCCAGACTCCTCCTCGAGTTATTAGTGCGGTCATAAAAGGGCCAGAGGTTAAATCGGAAGCAGTGGCCAAAAAGCAGGAGCATGACGTGAAAACTTTGCAGCTGGTGGAAGAAAAGGGCGCCGATGGGAATAAGACAGTAACCCACGTCGTGGTCGTCAGCGCGCCCTCTGCCATTGCCCTTCCTGTGACTATGAAAACCGAAGGACTGGTGGCCTGTGACAAATGAACTGTTGGTGTCGGAAGGGAGTCATTGAGAGAAGCGGAGGAGGACTGTGAACACTTGTTTCGTAGACGAAAGCAATGCGACTTACTGGAAATATTTCCCTATCCCATGTTTCAGTGGGAAGTGAACTACACGTTGAGATGCTGACAGAAAACTGCCTCTTAAAATAGGAACAACTGAACCCTCCATTAGAAAAGACTGAAAGGGACCAAGCAGCCCACTACACTATCAAGTCACACTAAGAGTTGGAACACTAACACCTGTAAGAGGTTACATAGTTTTCAGTGGGGCGGGGTTGGGATGGGTGATCTCATTGTTACATAGAGCAATTTTTGATGCATTTTATATGCATACCAGCAATTCTTACTGTGTTTGCACAGTGCTCACTTAACTGGTGCTATGTGAAGACTCTGCTAATATAGGTATTCTAAAATATGAACTGAGTGGATCCAAAAGCTCCAGAAGAGGATAGCAAAAAGATCTAGTGCGTTTTCTTGTTTTATTTTTTGTTTTTGAATATATAAATATATCATATAGCTTAAGCTGTTTTAAAACAAAGGCCTTAGACTAATTTTCAGTTTTCTTTCTTGAAATAAGCTAATGGCTTGTTTGTGTAAAGCTTTTTTATTAAAGGAAAAAAATTTTAAAAATCTTGTACCTAGCACAGTATTGTTATAGAATTTACATGTAACATTTTATATGGTAGTTTAAGTCTGTTGGTTTCTTAATTGTGAGGAAATTGACTGTTGGCTCTGGCCCTTTACTGTAACATACCGCGTCGTTCAGTTCAGCCCTGGCGTCTTGCAGACACCTCAGTATCAGCTCTGTCATTCTGAACTTCAGGCTCCGCATGAACTCGTCAGGTAGTGCTCCTCCCTGCTCTTCGTTTCCTTTCTCATCCTCTTCCTTCTTTCCTCCTCCTCCTCCTCCTCTTTCTTTTTTAGTTGACGTTTAAGAGGGAAAGTACCAGTGTTCAGATTTGAACTATAATAGTTTGTATATTCAACATTTGAAGTATATTCTATTTTGTTGTACTCTTGTTTCAAAGTGTATTCAAGTAGGTTTTCTGAAATATAGAAGTGAAATTTATGTGGTGGTTTCGGTCTCTGGTGATATTTCTCACAGCACTCTAAGGCCCCGTACAGGGTGTCGTTTCAGTTAAGCAGTGGGTGTTTTCTGAATCACTACATGAAGAAATGCTGCTCTGGTTTGTCCCATTGCACTAAGGGTTGGCGGCTCTCCGCACGTTCCCATTTCCTTTGTAGCTATGACCGGCTCCTTAACAAATGCAGTGTTTTAGTTGGCCGTTCTTAGGGATTTCTGTACGTGAAGCCCTTTCAACAGAGTGGCAGAGTGCTTGCCTGGCGTGTGCCAGCTCCTGGGTTTGTCCTGGCACCTCACCTACACACTGAGTCACCTCCAGTCATACCATTTGTTTCCATCAGACCGTTCTATGGGTAGAAACTAAGGTCCAGCCTTTCCAGGTGAAGGCTGAGGCACCAGAGGATCACACAAATGATTTAGCGTCACACAGAATTAGGACCTCCTCTACATCTTAGTTTTTCTTCCACAAATAAAAAGTTGTCGTCTATCTTTTTAGAAATTTAGATGAACTGTTCAATATTTTTTGGCCTTTGTATATTTAACACAATGCTACTTATATCAGCAAAGATTTTTATAAAAGTTCCCTTTCTAACCTTTTTTTAAAAAAACTAAATTGATTTAAAAAAATTATGCGTATGAGTGTTTTGTCTGCATATGTATGGCTGTGTACACTTAACACTGTGCTGATGCCCCAGGAGGCCAGCGGAGGGTGTCAGATCCCCTGCAGCTGGAGTTACAGATGGTTGTGAGCTGCCCTGTGGGTTTTGAACCTGGTCCTGTGGAAGAGCAGCCAGCCCTCTTAACTGCTAAGCCATCCCTCCTGGTCACATCCCCCCTTTTCGAATCCACAAACTTATCTAATGGTACTTTTAAAAATAAGGAGTCTAGGTCAATTTCTTATCCCATTGAGAGTTAACCTCAAAATCTACTTCTTAAAACATTTCCTAAATATTTCATCTTTCAAAATCAATACCATGCAGTTAACTTTTGGTCAAATCTTCTATAAAAATCATTTTTCAAAAGGCTGTACGTGACTGGACCCAGTCCTGAGCCACACAAAGCATATACAGATTTTTGTTTTTTTTTTTTTGGTTTTTTTTTTTTTTTTTTGGTTTTTTGGAGACAGGGTTTCTCTGTGTAGCTTTGCGCCTTTCCTGGAACTCATTCTGAAGCCCAGGCTGGCCTCGAACTCACAGAGATCCACCTGGCTCTGCCTCCCGAGTGCTGGGATTAAAGGCGTGCGCCACCACCGCCCGGCTGCATATACAGATTTTGGTTACCATGCTAAGGGTCTTAATAGCTAAATTGTAACAGATACTTTCTTCTGTGATTTGAACTCTATTCTAAAAGCAACAGAAAAAGTTTCAGACAAACATCCAAAACCTAAACTTGTAAATGTAACTACAGCTTCTGAGCTCTGTCTTTGAACTATGAGTCAATATAATGAGGTTGGTTACACCTTGGTCTCTAGCACTTTAGGAGAAAAGCCACAAAACCATAGCCACTGCATCTTCAAACTCCAGCCTTTGCATTGTGGTGAACAGCCTGTGTTTATTCCTTAGATCACTTTCCAGGAGCAGTTCCAGACTTCAGTCACCACCCTTCTCGCCAGATAACCAAGAGACCTCTCCAGAGACCCCTTGGCTGCTGGACCCTTTGCTACAGGATCTCACTTCAGCAAACATCCTTGTCTTTCAAGAAGGAGATGCCCCCTGTTCATAAGCACCACTTTCCCTTCACACACCCTTAGTCTAATAGTTAACAGTTGACCATTCAATTTCTCCATCAGGTCATTTATTTTTCAGTGGAGATCCTGCAGTGCTCACTGAAGTTCACCAATAGCCCAGCTTCCAATCAAACAATTTATTTGAAAGACCTGAGGACAACTTGGAGAAGTCAGTTACTCCTTCCACCATGTGGGTCCTCAGAATAGAACTCAAGTCATGAGGTTTAGTCGTAAGCACCTTTACCTATTTATCAAGCCGTCTTAACATCTATGTACGTGTGCCACATGTATGCAGTGGCTGTGGAGACCAGAAGAGGGAGCTGGAGCCCCTGGAACTGGAGTTACAGTTGTGAGCTGCCATGTAGGTTCTGGGGATCGAACCTGGGTCCTCTGTAAGAGCAGCAAATGCTCTTAACCTGTGAGCCTTCTGTTCAGCCCCTCTTCCCCATCTCATCTGTGCCGTAGTTTGCTTCTCAAAGTCGATTTGGTTTTCCATGACATGCCTAAACGGCTCCTCTCTTGACCTCGTTTTGACTTCCAACAAAGGTTTTCTCTATAGGGCTTAGAAAGAAGAGTTGGAGGAATGAAAGTTTAAGTCTGATGTACAAGCAGACACTACCGAATGCTTATTAAGTGATTTCATTGTAACAGCTGTTCTTCAGTTAGTTGTCATGTTGTTTTCTACCAGATCTTGGTCTAGACTAGATTTTCACTCTAAACCTTAGATCACTTGAATTGCCACATCATGGTTCTTCCTGAGTGCTGTGTTTTTCTGTCCCCTTTAGTATGAATAGGTCACAGCTTCTCCCAGGGGTCTGTAGCTGTCTCCGATACCTTGTCATTCACATCTAGACGTGCTCCAAGTCCTATTGATGGTGTCTTCTGTATGCCTTACCTCTGATAAGGCCTAGCTATGGCGTCCAGGTTGTCAGAAAACTAATCATCTTCTTGCTTCTGGAATGCTGAGATTTCAGGAAGCTAGAGTTGAGGTCAGCCTAGCCTAATGTGGGCCAAAAAGCCCAAGTAAGTAAAATGTGAATTTCATTACACCGTCGTCATTACTTTAAAGTCAATGACATCTTCTAGAACCGCCACCTACCCATGCCCGTTTCTTTGCTGGAACTACCCCAGGCACACATTTTCTCATTAAGCCATTCCATCCACTCCTCCTCGACCTAGTTTTTAGTTTCCTTATTTATTGGGCTGGAATTAAGAAACACCAAAACAAAAATTCCTGAAGTGGGCTCTTGGAAGCCTTATTCAGAAGGAGGTCTACTCTGACTGGCTGAGGACTGGACAGTACTGAGGCATGCTGGGAAGGGGAGCTAGAAAGAACCAGTGTCCTTAGAGACTCAGGAGAGATGAAAGAACTCCACTGGACAGCGAGGCAGAAACACTGCTGCTAACGAGGCTGCCCTGGGCTACAGAGCAAGTGTCTCAAGAAAAGGTGGAGGTGAGGGAAGGAGGATCAAGCAAACGGGACAGGGACAATACTAGTGGCTGCACCTCTGTTCAACAACTAACTTTGGCTTTTAAAACAGTTCCAAATTTCCTAGGCTGGCCTTGAACTTGCTTTGTAGTTGAAAATGACTATGAACTCCTGATCCTCCTACCTCTACTTTCCCAGGGCACTACCATGTCCTGCTGGTGGCTGTTTCTGTCCTGGTGCTGGAGATAAACTGGAGCCTTATGTATGCTAGAACAGTGCTCCACCACTGGGCTACCCCCAGCTCCTAAACTGCCTCGATATTCAGTTACTCCAGGTCCTATAAGAACTTCAGAGACAGTGAAGTCAGGCCTTGTAGGGAAGTACTGTTGGCCCTTGGTGTCTACATCAAGCCTCCCAACATCCGAAGCACTCTAGTACAGTGGAGAGACTAAGCTGGCTACTCTCTCACTCACTTGTGGATCTGGAGGTGGAATGCTGGGGGAAGCCATTTTAGAGCACTCCCTCTTTGCACCGTATACCCGGAAGCTTGAATTACTTCTGTTAAGTGTCAACAGGAAAATTCAGTGTGGAAATGAATAGTGAGCCACATAATATTAAAAGATACAAACTGACTCCAAGATACCTTTTGGATTAAAAAAAAAAAAAAACAAAAACCACACACACAAAACAAACCAAGATGAAACACTTTTATAAGTCCATTTATTAATCTTAAATAATATTTAGAACTCATGTGTTAAAACATTTACCACTTACCACCAGTAGGTTATTTTGTTTGGAAGAGAACTCCAGGTTATCGTTTCTACTCTTACATTCTTTGAGAAATTTTGAACCCAGTCATCTGACTGTCTTTGGGATTTTTTTTTTTTCTTTGAGAAAGGGTCTTGATATATAGCCCAAGCTGTCCTCCAATGCACAGATTTTGATCACACCTGACCACTCAATAGGATTTCTGGAGTCCTCATCTCAAAAGGAATTCTTACTATTCTTAGCCACTGTCCCAGGACTATTCCTAAAGCTACTTGTAAAAAGCACATTCCAGAAGTGATGGAGTAATTGTCACATGTATACCAATGTCATCACAACAAAAAAGTACAAATACTTAACAATGACTAAATAGTGAACATTAGTTCATTGAAAACGACTGGAATTTCTTCAAGAAACAAATGATAAGCTGAAGGCAAAGCAAACAGCAGGGATTATCTGTGAAGAGTGTTCTTACAAAGTCCCAACTCCCTCAGGGCTAAATAGAGTTCCTTAGTGTACAGTCTGTAGATCACCAAATCAAAACAATTGCAAGTTTTAAGGAAATTATGTCTATTCCTGCAAGGTTCTAAAATATCTACAATGCTATATAATCCACTTAGTTTTACATGAAGATATAAAAAAATAAATATTGCCATGCATTTCTTGCTGACATTTAAAAATCCCACAAATAAATAACTTGAAATGCTGTCTAGAAAACTTCCTACATCTTACTTTAATTCTGAGGGGCTTACAAGGGTTTTGTAACACCCTCAGCTTACACAAACAGTCTAATTTAATGCCCTTAAATGGTGGAGAACGATATGGAAAATTAACATTACAAGCCCAAACTGGAGTGCAAACACCTTTTTGCTGCAGGTTTGAATTGGAAAGGTTTGTGAACAAATTCTTCTCCAAGGGCATGCTGGAAACGATGGAGAGTCCAGTGGCAGAAACTAGTGTCCTTTTTCAGGCAACTTCTTGTCATATTTCAGTTTCCCAAACATCCCTGGTTTAGACTCTTATGATTAAAATAATACAGTGCTCACAAAAGTTCATCAGGCCCCTCACTGAAGCTGAAATCACACACTAGTGATAAGTGGTCTGAAGGATAATGAAAGGATGGGAGCCGGTTGGGCCCAATCTGTTCTTCAGTGAGTAGATCCAGAGCAGAAGTGACATTCAGAGCATGTCTGGAGTACCAGATGTAGTCCAGGGTGTGGCGACACTCCCCTGAGGTTCGGATCTTCCAGGTTGTGTATGGAGGCTCCGACTGTCCATCAGGACTCAGCAGCTTGTAGGCGCTGTTAAGATTGAGGCTGGAGGAAGCGAAGTGTTTGTAGACCTCTTCAGTGGGCTCTGCGTTGAAGTCCCCACAGACAATCAGGGGGATCTTGGCTCCCTGGGTGATGTTCTGCAGGTTCTGGAGAAGGTCGCAGCCCTGAGCTGACCGGAAGCGCTCCCAGCCAGTGCGTGCTTTTAAGTGGGTGACGGCAACACAGAACTGCCTGCCGGACTCCTTGCACTCCAGCGTCTGTGCGATGGCCACCTGGTTGGTCTTCAGGGTCATGGCTGTCAGCCTGATATTGGTGCTGTTGATGAGCTTGAAACGGTTTTGGAGGAAAAACAACGCACAGCCATCTGGTCCATTGTTGTGTTCAACATCGAGACAGGGTGACCAGGGCTTGGGGAAGAATGTGCCTTGGTAGCCCAGTCTACTGAGGAGCGGTTGGAAGGTGTCAAAATAGTGGTCCACTTCTTGGAGGCACAAGATATCCGGTTGGTAAGCCAAGATTTCCTCCAGGATAAGGCATTTCCTTTCTTCCCACTTGAGTGCTTCGACAGGGCACTGTACAAAGTTGTCTTTGCCTTCTCCAAGAGCTGAAAAGAAAAGCCAAGCATCTGTCAGCCACCACAGAACCATGACCTCAAAGAAAATGGGAAGCCTGGTGCGATGATGCGGTACTGGGAAGGCAGATCTCCATGAGTTCGAGTCATCGTGGGCTACCTAACTGAGCACCAGCCCAGCTAAGCTGCACAGTGAGCCCTGCCTCATAAATGAATAAACAAAGCTCAGGGGTGGGGGCCTGGAGGTCCACATCTGCCTCAGATGCTGGGACGGTTCTCAGCCATGTTAACCCACCCGGACAAAATAACCTCATACTATCTGCTGAAGCAAGATATATACAAAACTATTTCACAGAACTGTATTCTAGGATTAAGACCTTTGCCTTTAGGCTTAGAGAAACTTTGTAGGCCTGGGGATATAAAAGTGTGTCAACGTAATAAACGATAGTTTCAACACTCACTATAAGATAGCCATGTAAACTGATAAATAGATACTATTCAGAATGAATTGGACAAATGAATAGCTTTTTCTCCTTATGAATGAACACCGGAAACAGACTCGAAGATGGCCATATGTTTGTACAGGCGCCAGGGCTGGAAGGGTGGAAGTGGGTGGAAATAAACAACATACATGGTAACTATGTCGGCAACTGTCAGAAGAAATAAAAATACTTTTAAGATTGGTAAGTCAGAGACACACAAACACATGAAAATGCCTTTTCTTTTTAAAAACAGTTTTTTTTTCTTTTTTTTTGAGACAGGGTTTCTCTGTGTAGCTTTGCCCCTTTCCTGGAACTCACTCTGTAGCCCAGGCTGGCCTCGAACTTACAGAGATCCGCCTGCCTCTGCCTGCCGAGTGGCACCACCACTGCCTGGCCTTAACATTTTTATCATATTTAATTATGTTTATGGGGTAAGGGGAGTGTGCACGTAAGTGCAGGTGACTGCAGAGGCTGGAGGTCTTGGGTCCCCTGGAACCACGTGGTGTGGGTGCTGGGAATCAAACTCAGGTCCTCTGGAAAAGCAGTACCTGCTCTTAACCACTGAGCTATCTCTTCATCCCCAAAGATGCCTTTCCTTACAACTTTAACTACTACATAAAAGGTATTACCACGTAAGAGTGATGGATTAATCTAGTTTTTAATTCAGCAAGTATAGTAAAAGGGGTCCTTTTCTGCCACAAATATTTTTAAGTAACTTTATTTAAATGCTAAGAGTTGGCCAAGCAGCATCTCTGGTTTTATTGTTTTGAGACAAGGCCTCACTCCACAGCTCAAGCTGGCATCCCACTCTGGCAGTCCCCATGCCTCAGCCTTTTGAGTGCTGAGATTACAAGTCCTTGTGGACCACCAAGACCAGCCGAGACTCAACTCCTGCTCCACACGTCCACACTACCCATTCAGTTTGTTCCCTGTAAAAGTGGTCACAGTGCTAAGGACTCCAGTTGTTGGCCACAGGAGGTCTAAGGTTATCCCATTGAGCTGCTGAAAAGACCACCCTCCCCGATTGTCCCTCCACACAGCACACAGGAGCACTGGGAACGCACAGGAGCAGAAGGAAGCCACAGCTTCTTCAGCAGGCATACCTTGGGCAAGGATGTTCCACTGCATAACTCTAATGGGAGGGTGGTTACTGGGGCAATCTGTCCTCAGGTCCACGAAATCCCTCTGGTAGCGGGGTGGCCGAGTGTGCAGAACAGCCCTGCATTCCTCCAGAAGTTCCTTAGGATCAATGGGTTCCAGATGATCTGGGTCAGCTGACACCAAATACTCGGGGTGCTGAGCGGCTGCGCTGCTGTTGAGGGTCTTGGTGAGAGCACTGTAGAGTCTGCTCGTGCCGTTGCCCATGGAACTCCCTGCAGGGAAGGAGCAGAACACAGCCAGCTGTGAACACTCACTGTGAAGAATGGAGTCTCTAGCCTCCAGCTTCCTGTCGGGACAGGTCAAGTATTGCATTAACCAATCTCTTAACAAAAGCAAACTTGTTCCTCTAACCTTACTAACCTCTTAGTTGTCTCTATACACCCACCCAGTCTTGAACAAGCAGCACTTGACAAAATACACATTCTTCCAAGTTGTTGGTTTTGTTTTTTTTTTTTTTTGAGACGGAGTTTTTCTGAGTAACGGCCCTAGCTGGCCCGGAAGTTGCTTTGTAGACCAGGGATCCACCTGCCCCTGCCTCTCAAGTGCTGGGATTAAAGGCGTGTGCTACCACACCTGACCCCAAATTTTTTTCTTTAAGAATGGTTTTTGAGGGGTGAACTGTAGAAAGCTGTGGATCTAGCTGTAGCGTTTGTACAGGTCCCTTGGTTTCAGATGTTAAGTGTCCATCTTGGAGAATCCTGTGACCAGCACTGAATATATACTCTTCAAAAATACAGGGCATGCTCTGGGGAGTGGAGGAGGAGATACCTGGTTCTGCTCAGCTGGTCCATCTAAGAGCTTTCTTTTCCTGACTGGCTACATGTCCTAGAACCCTAAAGACAGACAACAGTGCCTCGAAAGAAGTGCTTTCCAGTGCACAGGATTTCAATTTCGTGTGTGTGTGTGTGTGTGTGTGTGTGTGTGTGTGTGTGTGTGTGTATGTGTGTGTTGTGGTGTGTGGGGTGTGGAATGTGTGGTGTGGAATGTGTGGTGTGGGGTGTGGTGTATGTGGTGTGGTGTGTTTTTGTGTCTATTGGTCTGAATGAGAATTGCCCCTCAGAGGCTCGTGTAGTGAACACTTGGCTCCCGGCTGGTGGTGCTGTCTGGGAAAGGTGGCTTTGAAGTTTTACAGCCTGGACCCATTTTCCATTCATTCTGCTTCCTGTGTGTGGAAGAAATGATCAGGAGCTGCCATACATATTTTCTTTCCTTGTTCTCCCTGTCATGATGGCCTCTGTCGCTCTGCAGGAACTGTAAGCCAAAATAAGCCCCTTCCTAAGCTGCTTCCATCTGGGTAGTCTAGCACATAAGGGGTGGAGTGGGGAAGCAGGCGGTGTACGAGTGGGCATGAGGCGGCTGGGGGCATCAGATGTCTTTGCCTTGATCACTTTCTACTTTAGTTTTTGGGACAGGCTGGCCACAGAGTGGCTAGCATTATGGACAAGGGCGAGCATGCTTGACTTCTATGTGAGTGCCAGGGATCTGATCCTGGATCCTCATGCTTACGGGGTAGGCAATCTACTATCTTAGCCATCTCTCCAGCCCCTTAACTTCACTTTTAACAGATCTTTAACCAATTACCATTAGAGAAACAAAAGCAGCCAAATATTCTTGATTTCTTTTTTATATCTGACATCCTGTCCTCTCAATTTTCATTTCAGTTGAGCGTGTACCAGTGTGTGCAGGTACCTGAGGTCAGAGGAGGGCACTGCTCCTGGAACTTAAGTGACAGTGATCTGTGAGCTGCCTGGCACAGGTGCTGTGACCGGAACTGGGGTCCTCTGTGACAATCTGCACTCTTACTGCTAAGCCGGGGTTTCTCAACTGTGGATCTTGACTCCCACAGGGGTTGCATATCCAGTTACGTTTATATTTACATTTCCATCACAGCAGTGGTGAAGTGACAGTTATACAATAGCAGTGAAAAGCACTGTATGGTGGGGTCGCCACGACATGAGGACCTGGATAAAGGGCCGCAGCCTTAGGAAGGGCGAGAACCCTTCCCACTGCAGACAGGGTTGCTCTGTATACTCCTGGCTGTCCTGGAATTCACTCTGTAGACCAGGTAGGCCTCGAACTCATGGAGATCCTCCTGCCTCTGCCTCCCGAGTGCTGGCATTAAAGACTGCACCACCACGCCCGCTCAAGCACCTTCTCTTTGTTAATTTTTCTCAACTCAGGCTGCTCCTCCTCACCGAGAAATTCAAGTCTAAAAGAGGCTTAGAATTCTCTGTACAATGGCTACACCACCCAGCGACAACTACATCAGGGTTTGGCACAGCAAAAAGGAGGGCAGAATAAAGAAAGCATTCAGTTTCAAACGCAGAGGCTGGCAAGATGGCTCAGTGGGTAGAAGTATCTGCTGTCAAAGTTTATCCTCAGAACCACATGATGGAAGAAGAGAAGCGACTCCCAAAGTTATATTCTGGCTTCCCTGCACGCACACACGTACACAAGAAATACAGAAATAAGTATATGCCAGCGGTGCTGGCCCATAGCTTTAATCCCAGCACTGCGAGGCAGAGGCAGAGGCAGGCAGATCTCTGTGAGTTTGGGGCCAGCCTGGTCTACGGAGAGTTCCAAGACAGCCAGGGCTGCACCAAGAAACCCTGTCTTTTAAAAATAAAAGTTTCAAAAACAACTCATAACTGTTCTTCAGTCAGCAGTTAGTTGTGGCGACATTTCTTATGAATGCCAGCTTGTCACACACCAACAGTACTCTGGTCCCAGGAGATCAGACACCCTCTTCTGGCCTCTGTGAGCACTGTACATCCATACGTTCAGGCAAACCCATCCAATTAATCAATAATAAAAAAAACGAAAGCTGAAATTTAATAAAAAAGAAGGCCATACTGCAGCCTTGGGAAAATGTGTTCAGATTAGAACAGGTGGAAACTTCTTATCTGCTTGTGGGCTCTTCATGTACAATGTTTATTTGATATGTGACCGAGAAAATCTGGGTGATTTAATTTATGAGCTGGTATCTCATATTATATCCTACACTGGTCTAGACAGTTTACTTTATGGTCCAGGCTGGCTTTAAGTTTGGGGCAATCCTCCTGCTTCAGCCTCTCAAATGGAATTAATTATAGGCGTCTAGTACCATGTTGAGCCCAGAATGACTTTCATCACTGTCCTAGAACAGTGTGTTAATATTACTCAGACTTGAAACAATGCACTAGAACATGCCTTTTAAAAAATGTCCTTCCTACAAGAGAGGGAGAGGAGGAAGAAAATCGTTCCACCAACAGACCCGCTGCCTTTTCTTTGTGGGTTACTTCACACCTGAGAAAAGGACTTCGGTTAAACTTGAACGGGAGTCCAGAAGGAGCGGTAGTGCCTCTGCTCCACTTTGATCTTACGTCAGGACAGGAAACTGAGGTGTTGGAGCAGTTGAGGACCGCTGTCCTGGAACAAGCATCCTCATGTGCACGTGTGCCTGGACGGTGATGGATCAATCTAGTCTACTGCCTAGTGAGCACAGGATGAGGAGGGCAGCCAGCCAGGCAGTGCTGGCAGCTAGTGCCACTCATTTAACTTCAACTGCCCAGTGCAGGGCCTCGCCACCTCAGCGCATGCCCTCCGTCAGTGGGACCATCACTGGCGAACCTCAATCTTGTTCCTCTAACCTAACCCCAAGTCCTCAAGGACAGTCTTTTGTAGTATGTTAACTTTTTTACATCCTTATTCCCCTATCCCTTGAGGTTTGGGATAGGCACATTACAAAATAGCTTATGATCTCTTCCTTCAAAAAGTTAACAAGTCTTTACTGAAAGAGACAAGGTAAATGCTAACTACTGAGGAGGAGCCAGGGTACAGTACGGACTAAAACAATTGGGATGGTTGATAAGAAACAGAAAAAAGCCAGGCATGATGGCAGACCCCAGGAATAAGAGCAGTTAAGAGGTAGGTGGAGGCAGGAGGCTCAGGAGTTCAAGGGCAGTCTAAGTTACAGGATGAGTTTGAGGCCAGCCTGGGTTACCTGAGACCCTACCTCAGAAAGTCAAGAATAATCAGAAAAAGTCTTTAAAGAGACTAGCATGGTTGAGCATGCCTTTACTCCCAGGCTCAGAGGGTAGAGGCAGAGTTCTCTGAGTTCCAGGCTAGCCTGATTTACACAGCAAGTTCCAGACCAGCCAGAGCTACATAGGAGACCCTACCTCAAAAATAAACAGCTGGAAGATGGTGGTGTGTGCCTTTAATCCCAGCACTCGGGAGGCAGAGGCAGGCAGCTTTCTGTGAGTTCGAGGCCAGCCTGGTCTACAGAGTGAATTCCAGGACAGTTACACAGAGAAACCTTGTCTTGAAAAACCAAAACCCACTCTCCCCCCAAAACCAAACCAAAACCCCAACAACAAAAAAACTCAAGGAAGGACTTGGATACAAAACCCACTTGTGAATATATATACACCGCCTAGCGAGCCCATCACAGTAACCACCATCAACCCTGCCTCACTTGTTCCAGCACACCCACGGCTGCACATGAACATCTCTCACCCAGTGTCTCAATGCCCACTGTGGACCAGACGAGCTCTAGCTGCCTGCAGACACTCCCGTGATCAAACAGACCAAAGCCTTCTTCTCAGGCAGCAGCGAATTTTGCAGTGGGAAGACCACATGGTTTGTATTTGGCGAGGAGTGTTATGGAGCAAAGCAGGGGAAAGGTGAGCTAGGGATTGTGGGTGGCAGGGGAACGGCTTGCTTGTCTGTGATGGTCAGGATGGCACCTGGCGGCGCGCGCTGAGACCAAGTGAAAGGAGAGCAGAGCTGGACTCAGCGACACAGGACACGCTGGGGACAACAGACAGGTCTGTCTTCTGGTGACAGTGTGACGGAAGGAGGGAGAGAATAAGACAGGAGAAGTTACTTTGAGAAAAATTTCCCTGAAAACGAGAGAAATGTACATGTGGTATGAGCATTTTGTTTTTGAGATAGAATGTTTGGGAGTGGGGTGCCAGAGGATATACTGAAGAAATGTATTACTTCTGGCTTCTGGTAGGACAGCCGAGGAAGCTTATAAAGCTCCACTCTTCTCTCCTCCAAGACCCCAAAAACTTCAACAAATACGAAAAACAGTTATTGTGATGCTCAACAAAGAGCATATAATAAACTAAGCTTTTATTCATGAAAGGCACTCAAGTTCAGGTGAGGAAAGTAGTGGGTATCCTTCACAGGGCAGCAGAGCTAATTAATAAAGTCCCCACACCTAACA